TCCTCCTCCTCCTCCTCCTCCTCCTCCCCCTCCCTCTCCCCCTCCCCCTCCCCATCCTCCTCCACCTCCTCCTCCTCCTCCTCCTCCTGCTCCTCCTCCTCCTCCTTCTCCTCCTCCTCGTCCTCCTCCTCCTCCGCCTCCACCCGGCGGCGAGCGAGGGGGGGAAGTAAGAAGGAGAAAACCTTCTGAGAAGGCTCCTTCTGAGAAGCCCCGCCGCCTTCTGAGAAGACCCTCTCCTTCTCACTTCCCCTCCCCCGCTCGCCGCCGACAGTTTGCACGGAGCTCCACGCGCAGGTGGAAAGCGCAGGTCCGGCGCGGCACGTTCGCCAAAGCACGGGCCGACACGTGCTGAGCCAACACGCAGCGCGTGCAATCCGGACCAGGGCGGCGAGACCTATACCACAGATTTCGCAAGAAAGGGAGGGGGTCTCATTTCGGGGGGGGGTCTCTTCCAAGCTATCTTGGAGGGCCTGGGGGGGTCTGGGGACGACGTTTTGGAGGGTTCTCCCACGGGGGAGGTCTGAAATGGCTCGTCTTGGAGGGTCCAGACCCCCTCCCTTTTATTACGAAATCTGGAGTACATATCCATTGCCCCTGGTCAGGCCCATCTGGGGCCCTTCGGAGGGCTACATTGCCACAGGACTGTGGAGGGCACGGGTCGCGAACGGGCGCAGCCAGGCAGCCACCGTGCCCTCGGACGCACGCGCCTCGGGAGAGGGCCAGCAGAGCCCCGCGCCCAAAGAGCCCCAGGCTCCAGCGCCCAGTGGGCAGCGCCCAGGTGGGCGGAGGGGGGGAGAGGAGGGCCTGCCCGTTGGGGAGAGGGGGGGGGAGGCCGACGTTGGCCGCCCGGCCTCAGCGCGCACGTCCCGGAGGGTGCGGCCGCGACCGCGGCGGCGCCGAGGGCGGGAGCGGCCGGCACCGCGTCGACGAGCTCCGAGCGGGTCGGAACGCGCATGGAATCGGGCCGCACTGGCGTGGGGCACGGGTCGACTCGGAGCGGCCGCGCCGGGATGCGCAGCAGCGCCATGCGAGCATCGGGCCACGTCGGATCGTCGGAATGTCGTCGGCATCGGATCGGGTCGAATCGACATCGGATGGGATCGAATCGGATCGAGCGGATCGAGCGGCGCAAGTGGAGGCCTCCAAAGTGGGGCCAGAGCAGCTGGGGTCGGAGGGTCGTGCTGCACCGCCGCAACATCGGCGATGCAGCGCGATCATCTGGCCCCATCTGCTCTGAACATTGGGAGGCCTGGAGCAAACGGGCATGTGAGCCTCGTTCCCTTTTGCCGTGAAGCAAGAGAGAACCGAGGGAAAAAACAGGCCCTGACCCCAGCAACTTCCTCCTCCTCGTCCTCGTCCTCCTCCCCCTCCTCCTCCTCGTCCTCCTCCTCTTCTCCTTGTATTAACATTCGTATTCTTATTGTTCCCAACCCTCCTGCGTTGGGTTCTCGTTTTGAATAGAGCACTGCTCGCGCGAACCTTCCTTCCTTCCTTCCCTCCTTCCCCCCTGCCTTTTACCTCGCTCGCCGCTGCGTGCCAGCCTGCCTCCTACCTGGTCATCCCTGTGCCAATTTCGAGGGCTGCTGGGGGCTGCGATCTGTGAAACTGTCGCCACTTTCGAGGGCTGCTGAGGGGCACAGCACAGTGGGTACCCACCGCAGACTCAAATTAGACCTCGCCATCCATGGGGGGCTGCGATCTGTGAAACTGTCGCCACTTTCGAAGGCTGCTGAGGGGCACAGCACAGTGGGTACCCACCGCAGAGTCAAATTGGACCTCGCCATCCCTGGGGGGCTGCGATCTGTGACACTGTCGCCACTTTCGAGGGCTGCTGAGGGGCACAGCACAGTAGGTACCCACCGCAGACTCAAATTAGACCTCGCCATCCATGGGGGGCTGCGATCTGTGAAACTGTCGCCACTTTCGAAGGCTGCTGAGGGCACAGCACACTGGGTACCCACCGCAGACTCAAATTAGACATCGCCATCCCTGGGGGGCTGCGATCTGTGACACTGTCACCATTTTCGACGGTTGCTGAGGGGCACAGCACAGTGGGTACCCACCGCAGACTCAAATTAGACCTCGCCATCCCTGGGGGGCTGCGATCTGTGACACGGTCGCCACTTCCAGGGCGGCTGAGGGGCACAGCACAGTGGGTACCCACCGCAGACTCAAATTAGACCTCGCCATCCCTGGGGGGCTGCGATCTGTGACACTGTCCCCATTTACGAGGGCTGCTGAGGGGCACAGCACACTGGGTACCCACCGCAGACTCAAATTTGACCTCGCCATACCTGGGGGGCTGCGATATGTGAAACGGTCGCCACTTTCGAGGGCTGCTGAGGGGCACAGCACAGTGGGTACCCACCGCAGACTCAAATTAGACCTCGCCATCCCTGGGGGGCTGCGATCTGTGACACTGTCACCACTTTCGACGGTTGCTGAGGGGCACAGCACAGTAGGTACCCACCGCAGACTCAAATTAGACCTCGCCATCCCTGGGGGGCTGCGATCTGTGAAACCGTCGCCACTTTCAAGGGCTGCTGAGGGGCACAGCACACTGGGTACCCACCGCAGACTCAAATTAGACGCCGCTTTCGTCCTTGCTCTCCTCCTGCAGTCACCTTCCCTCTGCTGCTGCCGTGCTGATAGTTCGGCTTCCCGCACGTGTTTCTCCTGCTCTGCGTTCCCGACTCCCCATGTCCTCTTCGAGCCTGTAGCTGTCGCCCCTCGTCCTTGTATGGTTCTCCTGCGCATCATGCCATAGGCGCGTGTCCCAAGTAACTTACACATCAAAATGATTGTCCATGCAAGTTTCGGCCAACTCCTCGTTTCCATTGATACAACAGGGTTGGGTACGTGACATGGGTAATTTGTATTGTTGCGATTGCTCCTAGTGTTGTGGATTGGATTCGCCTTGGTAGTAGTAGTAGTAGTAGCAGTAGTAGGAGAAGGAGGAGGAGGAGTGATAGTAGAAATAGTGGTAGTAGCAGTAGCAATAGTAGTAGTAGTAGTAGTAGTAGTAGTAGTAGTAGTAGTAGTAGTAGTCATAGTATAGTAGTCGTAGTAGCAGTAGTAGTAGTAGTAGCAGTAGTAGTAGTAGTAGTAGTAGTAGTAGTAGTAGTAGTAGTAGTTGTTGCTGTAGTGGTGGTAGTAGTAGTAGTAGTAGTAGAAGTAGTAGTAGTAGTAGTCGTCGTAGTAGTAGTAGTAGTAGTAGTAGTAGTAATAGTCGTAGTAGTAGTAGTAGTAGTAGTAGTAGTAGTCGCCGTAGTCGCCGTAGTAGTAGTAGTAGTAGTAGTAGTAGTAGTAGTAGTAGTAGTAGTAGTAGTAGTAGTAGTAATGTTCATATGATTAGTAGTGGTACCCTCCTTAATGCTATACGTATTGGCATGGACAGTCGTATTATTCATCTTGTTGTTATGAGTAAGAATAATCATAATATTAGTGGGTACTACTAGTTAAATGTGTTACAGTGGTATGAATAGTAGTACGACTATTATTAGTGTTATGAGTATTCGGTTTATTACTCAAATTAGTCAGAATAGTGTTGGTATGTGTAGATTTGGCATTCGTAGTGGCATGTATAATATTACTCGTCTTCACATTGCTCACCGTATAAGTATTATTGGTATGATTCGTCTTCTTCGTCAGAATAAACAAAAATAAAGCAATAATCAAACTGATGAAAATAAACATACAAAACATATGGCAATAACAATAATATGAATAACCCTCCTCCTCCTCCTCCTCCACCCTCCTCCTCCTCCTCCTCCTCCTCCTCCGCCTCCTTCTCCTCCGCCCTCCTCCTCCACCCTCATCTTCCTCCTCCTCTGCCTCCCTCCTCCTCCTCCTCCGCCACCTCCTCCTCCCTCCTCCTCCTCCTCCTCCACCTCCTCCTTCCTCCTCCCTCTTCCCTCCTCCCTTCTCCCTCCTTCCTCTCCATCCTCACTGCTCCCTCCTCCGCTCCTCCTTCCTCCTCCTCCTCACCTCCTCCTCCTCCTCCTCCTCCTCGTCCTCACCTCTCCTCTTCCTCCTCTCCTCCTCCGCCACCTCCTCCCCTCCCGCCCTCCTCCGCCTCCTCCTCCTCCTCCTCCTCCTCCTCCGCCTCCTCTCCTCCTCCGCCTCCTCCTCCCGCTCCTCACCTCCTCCTCCTCCTCCTCCTCCTCCTACCTCCTCCTCCTCCTCCTCCTCCTAATCATCATCATCATCATCTTCATCATCATCATCATCATCATCATCATCATCATATCATCATCATCATCATCATCATCATCATCAGCATCACATCATCATCATCATCATCACACCTCAACATCATCATCATCATCATCATCATCATCATCATCATCATCATCATCATCATCTAAACATCATCATCATCACCACCACCAACCATCAGACATCATCATCATCATCACATCATCATCATTCATCATCATCAGCAATCTCGTCGTGTCGTCGTCCACGTAATCGTCCGATCGTCCATCTCATCATCACAGCATCAGCATCATCAGCATCATCAACAGCATCATCATCAATGACATCAGCAGCAGCAGCAGCATCATCATCCTCATCAGAATCATCATCACATCAGCATCAGCATCATCATCATCATCATCATCATCATCATCATCATCATCATCATCATCATCATCATCATCATCATCATCATCATCATCATCATCCTTCTCCTCCTCCTCCTCCTCCTCCTTCCTCCCCCGTGGAGGGCCCAACGGGGCCCGAGGAGAACCTCCAGGGGAGCCGCTTCCTCGGGGTGCCCGCTTCACGGCGGTTCTCCCAGGTCGCCCGGAGCTCGAGGCTCGAGCCGGGCTCCATATGCCAGGCAGACTCCTGCCCCGCCCCAGGAGGGATCAGGGAGGAGGAGGAGGAGGAGGAGGAGGAGGAGGAGGAGGAGGAGGAGGAGGAGGAGGAGGAGTAGGAGAAGTAGGAGGAGGAGGACGTGAAGCTCCCGTAGGTGGTGGCATGGAGGCCCCAAGGTCCTGCCGAAGGCTATATGGAAAGCGTCGGGAGGGGTTACCCGTTCGCCTATTCGCTTGGCGCTGGCGATAGCTACGGTGTGGCGCCGTTAGCAGGCTGCCTTGAGCCAAGGATGGAGGAGGGAGCATGGAGGAGGTGGGGAGGAGGAAGGAGGGTCGCGGGAGGACAAAGGATGGAGGACGGAGACAGCGCGAGGTAGACGGAGTTCGCAGTGGTTTTGCGGGAGTGGCAAGCGGCCCACGAAAGCCCCAAGATGGTTCCAAAATGGCTTCAAGACGGCTCATGACTGCTACCCCAAGATGACCCGAGAGAGCTCCAAGATGATCCCACGAGGGGCCAATATGGCCAAGGGGGGGGTCGATACGCCCCCAATGCGGCGCAACACGCCACAACAGGGTTCCAAGAAGACCTACACGAGGCCCCAAAGAAGCCAAACTCATTGAAACCAGAATCAGCTCAAAAAGTAACAAACCGCTGGATTGGCATGGGAGCCCGTTTCTGATTATTCGCAATAACGCCCGTGACGGGCCCCACCCCCCACCCCTCATCCCCCCCCCTGGTCACGCCACGATTCGCGCCGGCGCCGTCTGAGAATTGGCACTCCCAGCCGGCGCCAGCGCGAATCGCGACGTGACTGGCCCCGTTCCCCCCTGCCCCCCACACAGGCCCAAGAGGCCCCCAATATCGCCCCAGCACGGCCGAGAAGGGCCCCGAGAGGAGCCCTGGACGGCCCAAAAGGTGCCCAAGGCGGCCCACAATGGTCTAAGAGGGATTCAATCTGATTCCTAGATGGCCAATGACTGCTGCAAGATGGCCAGAGAGGGCTCTATGATGGCTCCACGAGTGACCAGAGGACCAGAGACGCCTCCAATACGGTGCAAGGCGCCTCAAGATGGTTCTGACAGCGGTGAAAAGCCAAACAAAACCCTGCGTTGATGCCGGCCGGATTTGTAACGTTCACATTTGGGGGACTCATGGCGTCCAAGACGCCTCGAGGGTTTCCAAATGTCGCACCAAGGCGGCTAAGAAGGGCCCAAAGAGGAGCCCAACACGGGTCAAGATGGCATCATGACGCTCCAGGAGGGCTCCTGAAAGGATCAGGACGGCCAAAGGGGCCCCGAGACGGCCCCCACGACCCTGGGGCGGCCCCGAGAAACCGCCCGTGCACAACCCCCGGAGGCCACCGAGAGGCTGCGCGACGAAGGGGCGCCTGCTCCGCCGCCTGCGCGTTTCGTGCGGATGCTGCTTCCCGGGGGAGATCCGCTCCGCGATGTTGGCGCCAGGGTGCGTTCCAGTTGGGGTCCCCAGAGACCGTGCCAGGAGGGGGAGAGGTCGTCCCACTGCACCGGTGTCGCGCGGCGCCTCCCGCCTTGAGAAGCGCGTGCAGCCCTCGGGGCCTGGACAGAGACCTGCTGTCCGAGGTGTTTTGCTTGTTTCTTTCTCTCTCTCTCTCTCTCTTTCTACCTTTCTCCCTGTCTCGCTCTCTTTCTCCCTCTCACTCTCTCGCTCGCTTTCTCTCTCTCTCTCTCTCTTTTTCTCTCTCCCTCTCTCTCCCTCTCCCTCTTCCTCTACATCCCTTTCAACCTGGCTCTCCATCCCTCTCTATCTATATATTTCTCTGTGTCTCTCTCTCTCTCTCTCTGTCGCTCTCGTCCTAGATTAAGTGCCACAGACTCCGTTGCACAACACCAAGACACACACACACACCTGTTCTAGTATGATAACCTAATGTGCTCGTGCATGGTAGGTTCTCATGGGGCATGCACGTGTTTTGGAAATGTGTCGGCGGGTGTGGAGCGAGCCTGTGAAGCCGTCGCTGTGGCCATCGTACTATCGTACAACCAGCCGCAGAGCTAACCCTGAACTCGCGAGGATTATGAGTTGCATCACTATTGGACTGGGTATGGCCAGGGCGACGCTTCCGATAGTACTATAGGCAACCCGAGATCGATACTATGCTTGGAACTCCAATGAGCTGCCATGACGTTGACCCAGCCTGGCGACATGTCGATGCGTTACGTACTGCACAACTGTTTCCCCTGGCGTGTGGATGACGACGCGCAGGTCTGGGCGCTGTAAAAAATGCGCGATCCGCGCGAATTGCTCCTGGAGATGTGCTCAACCCTGCGCAAGGTAATGCACCACGCACGCAAGCAGTAGGGAACCACACCGCTTGGTGCGTGTTCGAGTGCAGTGCCTGCAACAAACGAGTCTGGCGCTCCGATCGGACGAACTTAACAGATGCAACGCCGAATTCTGGCTTGCCAGTCGGCTCTAGCCCTTTGGAGGAAGATGGTCAGATGATTGCTGTAAACACCCGCGAAAATCGAAGGGCAGGACCCAACATCCCTGAATATACCGCTCCGAAGTCTGCATTCATGAATGCATGCGCTCACTTGAACAAGACAGAAGAACATTGGCTTTGCCATGCCGCCAAGCCGTTCGGGGCTACCTAACCGGTGCCGAAAATGTCGCTGATCTAGAACTTGAAGATGGGATCCTTAGAGGTGCCTGTCGAAACCGTGTTCCAGGCCGTATTTCAGCACTGATTACAACAGCATCGAGGGTGTCGACAAGTTTCAGGTCGACTCTCGGCACTCTGGGCGTGGAAAAAGTTGGAACCAATGGCCGATACATTCGAGCTCCTCGACGACGCCCACTACGTGCGAACCGGCGCCCAGGCCCTCTGCGAGCCCGAGAGAGCCTGAGATCTTCGACGAACTACAGGTAGCGACAAGAGGTTGCTGCTGCGCTGCAGGAAAAGTTCCAAACTGCCGCCTGCCTGGGCTTGCGACGACGCGCGAGGCTGCCCGAGCTGGCAGTAGGAAGCAGTGTTAGATTCCGAACATCTAAACATTGCATGCAGTACTCGGCGCTGGGTCCACGAGCGCACAGTGGGGAAGACAAAGGCGCGCTGAATTCGGCAGCCGCAAGGTCGCTACGTGACAGACACAGTGCGGCTGCACCAGTATCTCCACCAACACAGGCCGAATGAATTCTGCACCTTGTATGTGGAATGATTGCTGCACCCTGGGTTCGCGGTGGCGTCCCCGCAGTCAGTTCGCCACGGTGTGCGCCACACCGCAGCCCTGGTCAGGCGCAGAGGCCCACGGCGGGCAGCTGGTCCTCGGTCTGCGTCGGCGAGGCGCCGTCCCAGCCCACGGACGAGCCCGAGCCGCCGTCGGTGGAGCCCAGGGACCAGCAGCGGTCGAAGCTGGGCACGTCGGAGTCCAGCGGGCGCTGCTTCGCCCCCTTCGGTGGCACCCCCGCCCGGTGGGCGCTGGCCGACCCGAGCAGCCGCGCCACGGCGTCGAGGAGCTCCTGGCTGGCCGGCGCCGCCGGCTCGTGGCTCCGCGGGCCGGCGGGCGGCTCGCGGAGGGCCTGGGCCGGCGCTGCCCGCGCCGCCCGCTCCGCGCGCGCCGCAGCTGCAGCGCGCGCGGCCTGCTCGGCCCGCGCGGCCAGCCGCGCCGCCACCTGCCTGCGCGGCGGCGGCCCGCCGCGCCGCCGAGGCGCGCGGAACGCGGCGGCCCCCGCCTGGCCTCGATGCCGAGGGGCGGCGAAGAGCGAGGCGCTCGGCGCGGGTCTTCGCTCCTGGTCCTCGGCCTGCAATCGGCCGCAGCCGCGCCGGTGCGAAAAAAAAAAAAAAGAAAAAAAAAAAAAAAAAAAAAAAGAAAAGAAAAAATAACAAAAAAAAAAAAAAAAAAAAAAAAAAACAAAAAAAAAAGAAAAAATAGAACAACACCACACTAACAACACCACCACCCAATCTTATTTCGGCTGCCGGCGTCGGAGGTCCGCGGGGCCAGCCGCGGGGCCGGCGCCGTGGCGGCCAGGGGCTCCAGGGCCAGCGTCTCGAAGACGGACCCGCTGGCAGGGGCGCCCCCGGCACGGCGCAGGTACGTGGTCGTGGCCATCGCTCTCGCTTGAGGCTCTGCTGAGGGCAGCAGCTCGCAAAATGCGCAGACTGTCAGTGGCAAAGCGCAAAGAAACACTTGAGCCAAAATGGCTACGGTACGTACTGCACAACTGGAGAAGCAGGCATTAATCCAGCAAAATCGATGCCCGAACACTGCTGCCCGAGGCGTTTCGGAATTGAGCCATTGCTCCATGTTTCGGCAGTTGAATCGGAACACGGGGGCGACGACAGTCGCTCGACATGTAAGTCTGCCCAACGGGATAGATTCGAGAACACAGAGTTTTGCGGATGCACGACCACTTCAGGAGGAGAGCGTGCGAACCAGCATGCGCGAGGGATGGAGGAGAGAGAAGAAAGCGGACAGCGATGGAAAGGATGACACGAGAAAGGAGGCACAGAGAAGGGAGCACGCTGTCTTGTCCGAGGCCGCGCGCTCACGCAGCGTTCGCCGCCTCTGGTCTTGGTACAGCTGCCCGACGGCGTGTGGTGGGCATGCGGCCACTGAACACTCGGCAGCCACGACAGAGGGCGCTCGCCGCCGAGCGCGAGAGAGGGGCGAGAGGACGCGTCGGCCCTCGCGCCCTGCGCCCGATCGGCGCCCCGACCGCGAGAGGGGCGGCAAGATCGGTCGGCAGCGAATCGGGGCATCGGATCGGGTCGGAATGCTCGTCGGATCGGGCTGCCGCGGCGCGGGCTCACACTCGAAGCGCATCGGCGGTGGCAGGCAGCGGAGCATCGCCGTGCGAGCAGCGGGGCGCGTCGCATCGCCGGAGAGTCGGAATCGAGTCGGATCGGGGCAGCCAGAATGGATGTCGATCGGATCGAAATGAAATATGGGGGAGAGGAGGGCGGAGCGGAGGGAGGGAGGATGGTCGGCCACTTTGCCATCACGATGGAAGACCTGAACTGAGATCTTGCGATGGAAAGCTGTGAGAAGACAGCTGCAATGTTGTTTTACGTCGTGCATGGCTTATAGAGAAAAAACACTTCGTGATGTATACCATATGAACGAAATACTGGAAAACATACTGGGAAACGGGCATGGGCACAAACTTTGGGAGATCCGATCGGCGTTCGTCGATCGGCACTGGATCCCCTGGCGCACCGAGCGCGCGCCAGGGGCGGCGCCAAAGGCGCGGCCAGAGGGGGCCCCAGCTCTGATCCGAGCAATCCGCGCGGACCTCCGACAGTTTA